TACATGAGTGTGCAGAGTTGGTGCTCAGAGATGATGCAGACTTTCTCTCAATAAAAGAAGTCCATCTTTCAAATGTTGCAAAGTTTTCTACTCCAACAGAAAGGCTGGTATCAACATCAGCAGCATTGGAGTATTGTGTGATTTCTGATTGTGAGGGATTGGCATATTTATCGCTAAAGAAGTTGGGACTGCTGGGATCTGTCCGCAAATTGGAAATTTTTAATTGTCCACAACTTGTGTTGTTAGGGCCATATGAGGTAGAGGAGGCAGAAGAGGAGCTGTTTCAAGTTGAGAATCTTTGCAATATTGAATCTTGATAATATGGCAAATTGGTCTCAATATGGAATCTTTGAGAATAAGAAAGCATTTTCTCCCATTTCTTACAGAGATGAATATTCAAAACTGTCCAAACATAGTTTGTTTTGCAAAGAACAACTTACCCCGACACTTGAAAAGGTTAGAGATTGTAAACTGCAAGAATTTGCAATGTTTGGTTGATGAAGGAAGAAATATAAGCATCAGTAACATATCTCCTCTTGAGCATTTGGAAATTGGAGCCTGCCCATCTCTAATATCATTATCATTACCTGTTAGGCTTCGACATCTTATACTTTCGGACTGCTCAAAGCTAGCTTCCTTATCAGACAGTGGCAAGTTACCCATAGGGCTTAAAAACCTTGACCTTAGTTTCTGCCCAGAGCTCGAATCCATTGCAGAAGCAATTGACGAAAACGCTTGTCTTGAATCTATTGTTATCTGGAAGTGTGGTATTAAATCTTTACCTCAAGGATTTGACAAGCTCAACCATCTTCAGAGGATTCAAATACATGGATGTGAAAATTTGCGAGCCCTGCCCAATTGCATGCGCAACCTCACCTCTCTTCGACAATTGCAGGTTGAGAATGATTCAGGTGATCAGATATCCATTCCAGAAGAGGGTATCTCTACCAACCTAACATCACTTTCCATCTCAATACCAAGAAATTATGAGTCTTTACTTGAAAGAGGATTCCATAGACTCACCTCTCTTAAAACACTTCGTATTTCTGGTGAAGGATGTCCGAATATGGTGTTGTTTCCGCCAGAGGACATAGGAATGATGCTGCCTCCCTCTCTCACCCATTTGAGCATTGAAAATTTCAAAAATTTGAAATGCTTATCCTCCAAAAGCTTTCAAAACCTCACCTCTCTTCATCATTTGTCCATCTACTCTTGCCCTAAGCTCACATCGCTTCCTGAAAAAGACATCCTTCACTCGCTTTTGCAGTTATTCATTGGTGAATGTCCATTGCTAAAGGAAGAGTGCAAAAGGGAGAAAGGACGAGAGTGGTCCAAGATAGCCCACATACCTCGTGTTCAAATTTTTGATTTCTTATCCTTTTTTTGACACCCAAAGGAGTTGAATTGAAAGTTGACTGTAAAACTGAGAACAAAAAAAGTTGACCGTGACAATCACAGGTATGAAACCATTGAAACGTAGGGCAATTTAGAAGCTTCTCATTTTTAACTACAAAATGAAGCTACTTGTAATATGTTTTTCTCATCATTGATTATTTGCAGGTAGTTCAAAAGCTTTAAAAGGTAACATGGTGAGAAACTGGGCTTCTCACTTTTTCATCTAAAATGGCAGAATCAATGTGTAAAGTTTAATGGTTGGTTAGTAAACTCATGCTCATACAACTTCAGCAGTCGGCCTCGCATTTCAAAAGATCATTTCATGGAAAAGGGTGGACTCAACTCTGACTTTCTTGGGCCTTGTACGTGGATTTCTTCATTTTTCAGACCTATGAAAGTGCTGCAGAGGTTGATGAATGGAACGGTCAGTTAATTCTCTGCAACTTTTGTCTACATTTTTAGTGTTTGATAATGATTTGATATTCTAATAAAATACTATTGAGTTTTCTTCATTTCTATTATGATGAATTTGGTGTATTATTTACAAATTCAAAGTCTGCCAATTCTACTTTACTTGCCTATACCTGGATGACATCCTTCATTTTATTCTTTTAATTTCACACCATTCTTAGTTGGTCTTTGTGTGACAATTTCTCATAATCCAATCTTACTTTTCCTAATTTTTCGGAGAAACTGCTTTATAAAGAAAAGAAAAGAAAAGAAAAGAGAGGAAAGCAATATAAGATTGCATACATGTAGGTTCAATGCTCCATTGAATTCATTAAGCAACTCTAATTTTCTGTTAGATTTCCATTACTACTTTGGATCTCTGATAGACTAACATCTTTTAGCCCTTTATTGATTGTACCTTTTAGTTTCAACTGTATATAAGAGATGAGCAATGTTGCTTATTTTATGTGCCTTGCTTGTTCTCAGGTATTTGCCTTAATTCTGCAATTGCCTTAATTCTGCAATCCATCTGAAAAGTACTCAGACTCACTTTTCCAACTATCTATTGCTAACTGTCCTCTAGTAAGTAAACAGTGCAAAAAGAGATAAAGGATGGAGCAGTTGAAGATAGCTTGCATGTCTTAGCTTGCGTGAATGACAGATTACTCATTATCTGGGCAGAAAAGGAGAAAGGTGTTAGATCTCACAAGGAAACTTGGAAAAATCAGTGAAAGATATATCACATCTCATTCAGGTTTTAACACAAGGTATGCAAATTAGAAAATTTCTCTTATCTTTTTATTTTAAAAGAAATCCAAATAATTGATTAAGTTTTGAATGATAACAAAGTGTTCATTTAATTGTACATGCAGAAACCTGAACAAGAATCTGAAGAAGGGAAGAATGAATTCTGGCCTCCAAAGGTAATTTGATGACCTAATAATATGGTGAGATGTCATTAGGTAACAATGAAACAATCCCTCTTTAATTAAACCATGTTATGTATATGTTTTAAAAGTTTGAGTTGGAACTCTCTCGATTGGGGTGCGTTTAGTGCAAAAGATGATGGACAGGATATGATAAAAATTCATTCTATCCCTTGTTTGATGTGCACTTCAAAAAGAAGGGTTGGATTACAAATAGAAATTTTAGTACTGGTGAAGTGGTAATCGTCGCATACCAGCGAAAATCAAAACTTTACCTGACTTCATATGCGCCCTTTGCAATTTAGAGACCTTGCTAGTTAGAAAAGTCATACAAATTCAGTGAAAGCAATGACCTTTGGAACTGGTAGAAGTAACAATGGATATAGTCAATCTTTCAAATATTTAAAAATTTTGTACTCTAACAGAGAGGCTGCTGTCAGGATTTGGAAAATAGGAATATTTGATGATTGATAGTTGCAAGGAATGGACATGCCTAATTGCAAAAGGAATTGGGATCACTTGGGAGCCTAATGTTTCTCCCTTGGCTGAGAGTTTTGAATTGTTCACAACTTGTACTTGTAGCGTTAGAGACAGAGGAAGCAGAAGAGGAGCATTTGCAACTTGACAGGCTTTGCGAGTTTCAATGTCTAACAATTACGAAATGTGAACAACTTCAAAGGCCACCAAAGGTCTTGGATTTGGTCACGTTCCTTGTAGATATACAGATTGCCAATGCCCAAGCATGGTTTCTGTTTTAACAAATAACCTGCTTCTGCCTTGAAGAAGATTGCGAGAATTTACAATGTTTGGTGGACGAAGAAGAAGAAGATACTAGCACAACTTCACCTCTCTTAAGGCAGTGACGTTTGTTGGTTGTTCAGCTGAGATATCCTTTCCTATTCTGCTGCTTCTCCATGACTAGTAAGATATGAACGAGAAAAGGTGGTGGGTAATTGAGATTAGTTTTCTTTGTAAGCTTTGTTCTCTGCATTGTCTTAGAGCTCTGGGTGATGTCATCTTGTTTTCGGACTAAGATTCTGTGGCCTGCTCCCCTTCCTTCAACTATTTTATAAAATTCGTAGTAATGGATCAATATTGTATTTCGACGAGATTACGATTTTATCTTAATAGGTTTTTATTTCGATTAAACTCAAATTTATTTCAAATCAGAATTTTTACAGAAAATTTTAAATGAATGCTCCTTGAATCATGGTGAAACTAATTTCTAAGTGATTGATATGATGAAGTAGCAATTTCTTTTTCTTCTTTTTTTTATTTTTATTTTTATTGGGTGATTTCAAGTTTTAATAACTTGCCTTTATTAAAGGAATTTTTTTATTTGAAAAAAAGTTTGAGATTTAAACCTTATACATTGAATCAAGTTCTTAGATATTATTAAAGGGTTATTTCAGTGAGACCATGTAAGCACTGCTACATATCTATAGTTGCCATATGATGGATTAAATTTGGTTCAATTTTATCACTTTACTTGACAATAGTATGCCAAAGGAAAAACAAGTAAATTTATCACTTTACTAACTACAAGGGATCACATTTATCACTAGTTATT